TCTATGTAGTGTTTTATTTTTATATTTGTTCATTTAATTTCTTTCTTGAATGATTCTGTTAAATACACCTACTGTAGCTGAAAAAATAAAGCACTGTTTATTTCATTTGTATATTATATGTTGTATATGTAATGTGTATAACAAAACAAATAATGACAAAAAAGATTTATCTTCACCACTTTGGCCTAAATGTCTGCCATTCTTTTTTATTTTATATTTTGTTACCTTGTAAGGCTTTGTTTTTAGAAAAGGGACATTAGTTTGGCTGTAACGCTCAGTCACTTGCAAAATAGTAAAACCAACATGAAAAAGAATCGTGATAAATTCGTGAATCGTGATTTTCCTGAAAAAAATCGTGATATGATATTTTCGCCATATCGCCCAACCCTAATTTACACCCACAATATAATACCAAATTTACCATTTTAATCAACAGTACATTTTTTGTTAACCTTTTACCATATCTCTTGGAGTATCGGAATAATATTGTATCGTGAGTTTAGTATCGTGATATGTATCGAATCGTGACAATTTGGTATCGTTACACCCCTATATTATAGGAATACAGTCTATGGTAACTAATTTAATCAATCTTAAATTGATGATTAGTTGTTGTTGTTATTATTATAATGGAGTCTACTGTATTATGTTCATTAAAAGACCAACTTTAAGTTGATGTAACTAATATGCCCTTAGTTTAGTAAACTCTGTGCCTTCTAATTTTAAGTTGCAATGGCTATTTCTTTTTTTCTTTACAGTTATGATGTTAATCTGTTCTTTTACATAAACTTTAAGGCAGAATAGAGAGTGTTAAGGATCAATTTGCAAGCAATAAGCCATTAGGCAAGATATTAATCCATGTTCTCCTGTGAGGGTGTGATCAATACACCCAAACACAGATTGCCCTCGCTATCATGAAAATATTATACACACATTACAGATGCAACCCCGTAATACGTCAATATTTGGGACAGTTCAATATGCTGTATAACAATAGTAAAATGATCTTTCTTGCTGAAGAGTCATGGGTCCTCTTCAAAGTCTGTTAGATGATGAGAGGACGTGTTTTTGATGATGGTTGAATGAGCTGGTACTAATGTACTCATACGCTGTCTGTCTCCTGTTGTTATAGCAGACCTCTCTGCTCTCTCTCTCTCCTATTACTGCAGTGTCCCTCTCCATTGTAACAGCCTTAATTAAAGATTAATGGCAGGGTTTTCCCTGCATGTAGAGTGGAGATAGCTCATTTCCCAAGGCTCTTCTTTAAAAGCACTGCACTGTTGGGAGTGCTAAAAACGGGAGAGACTGCGGTGCTTCGGAGAACAAAGGCACTCTGGCCTATCCCCTCTCCCTCTTTCCCATTGCAGGCCATGTAATAACCGAGTGAGGCTAGGAAAATAGAGGTGCGACGTTGTGGGTAGTCATTTCAATTTTGGCAACCAAAGAGATGCAATCAGCTCATTTAAAAGCCTGCGTAGTAGCTATACCTTTCTTTCCTCCCGTGTGACAATTACTGTCGCCGTCTCCATCAGGCTTTTTAATGGCTCTGCTTGAAGCCTGTCGAAGACCATCAGGCTCTAGTGGGAACTTTAAAAAGAGCCAGCAGAGGAGAGGAACAAATTGGATAAGATTGCTTATTTTTTTGTTTCTTTGCTATTAGGGTAATGTCAAAGGGATGTTTTTAATATTTATTTGTAGAATATGTCATTACTTTAAACTAGTATCCACGTGAAAGTTCTAGCATTCTAACACATAATTCAGACCTTCAAGACCTTTTCTTGTTGTGGCCAAGAACTGCCTACTTAGTAAAGAGACCTAATATGACCTAAGAAAAAAGTTGAATGTTGACTAGTTTTTAATCAGAATTTATTTACATTCAAAAGTAATAGATGCATATTATTTTATAGACATTTAACAAAAAATAAGCAGATTGTGCAATTTTATTTGCTACTGTACGCTATTAAAAATACAGTTCTTCGTTATGATGTGGTTCCATGGAGAACCTTTAACATCCATGAAATCTTTCCATTGCACAAAAGGCTTTATATTGGGAAAAGGTTCTTCGTATTATTCAAATGTTCTTCAAACTAACAATAAATTGTTCTTTTCAGCCCAAAATGGTTTTTCTAGGGCATTGCTAAAAAAAAAGAAAAAAGAAAAAATTTGGAACCTTTATTTTTATGAGTGTATGCACCCATACAAAACTCTGATTATATTTTAAATGTTTGATTAAACACTGAGTCCTGTGGTTTGTTAGGCCACCAGGCCATTCATTTCGAAGTAATAAGTGTAGCTTGTTTTCTTGAGAACTCTTGATGAGGACCTGTTTTTGCTTTGGAGGAGGTCATTTCAATTTGGTTAATTTCAAGAAGACAGTAAGTTCGATTAGTTCAGTCTCTCCTGTTAGAGGCTGTCACTTCTGAGCTGGGTATAATACTGCCCATATGCAGACCCTAATTATTTACTCTGCAGGCAGAGAACAAGGTCATGCTTGTTATACCATCATCCAATTCACACAATCAGATTCAATCCACACAATCAGAGATCTCACAAAGAGAACTAATCTCGTTCTTTCACAAGCAATTATCTTGATGTAACCGGCTGGTAGGAGATGCTCCGCCCAGCCCAGATGAAGGCAATGACTTTCATTTTGCATCAGGCCCAGGATGCAGCAGAGATCCGTGGCTAAGTTAAACTGTCAATCTGTGCTTCTATTGGAAAATTTGAGCTAAATTAAAGAGAGCTCCAGCACTGGATTGTGGCCAAAACAATTAAGGAGCACTAGCATGGACACAACAGATGATGCTTAGGAGAACTGCATTTCCCCAGTGTCCATTCACAATCCATGACCTTTTTCAAAGAATTGTGACATTTTTTTGCATGAGTAAAGACAGACTGTTTACTGAAATGGACAGCAACAGAATTCACTGCGTGACGTATTTCAAATAAAGTGTATCACATTTTAAATAATACATTATATACTAAATGTTATAATTAATCAACTATACTGTATATACTGTATATATGTATGTATGTATATATATATATATATATATATATATATATATATATATATATATATATATATATATATATATATATATATATATATATATATATATATATATATATATATATATATATATATAGTTGATTAATTACAGTATAACATGTAATATATGTTGGATAGACAGTAGCCGCTTTGGTCAAACACATTGCAGCGTACCAGCAACCATCAAATAATCAGTGTTCTGTAAATACAGAGATATGTGGCTGTCTTCCTGTCTGTATTGTGTGGGACCTTGTCGAAGGACACGGCTGTTTCTTCAGCAGCAGGCAATAAAGTGAGTGACAAACAAGACAAGGAGCCATATGCGATCAATGCCTGCAGAAATGGTTAAAAAAAGAGAGAGAGAGAGAGAGAGAGAGAGAGAGAGAGAGAGAGAGAGAGAGAGAGAGAGAGAGAGAGAGAGAGAGAGAGAGAGAGAGAGAGAGAGAGAGAGAGAGAGAGAGAGAGAGAAGCACTCTCTAAACAGGATTGCACACATGTGCACCACTAAAAACATTCCAAGTCCTACAAAGACAGTGATACATGAGATGTCCACTATCTGAAAATATTGATGAAAAAAATTAACTTTTCCCTTTATCACATTTTGATTATTTAGGTTGAAAGAACCAACTTTATTTACTTTCTACAGAATGACAAATTATTATTCCTCTCTATATAAATGACATATTCCTCTGATTGCTTTAATGCTTATAAGATTAACATAACCGAAAGATTTATTTTGGCACTACTGAATCATAGAATTGATAGTAATGATTCTTAGTCTCTTCATCTTTATTTGACATGTTTCTTGAATATAATTTCCCAATGAACTACACAATTGCACTCTTATATGAAATAAAAAATGACATCTATATGTTGTTTGATATTTGAAATGAAAAATAATATGTATCACTTGTAACTTGTAAGGTATCTTAACTTGCTGCCTTTTCATGGCCTGTATTGCATTAGACTGTACTGCCATCTACTGGTGAACAGTCTCTGATTATTTACTGGATTATCTGTAAAATACAAACACCTTGTACACAACCATTTTTGCTTTTTGTTTATATTTGTCATTTTTGTTTCTATATATATATATACTATACAGTGAATTTGGAGTTTGAATCATTCATTGTATCAGGATCATTACCACTGCAGCCTACTGTGTCAAAAGGCCACAGAGAGATATATTTGAGTTGTTCAGCACATTTTGAAGCCAATTACTTAGCTGCGTTAGTATTTTTAATTAGCACTAGCCAATTAGAGAAGTGAAAACCAACAAGCTCTCTCTTTTCCATTTCATTAATGAAAGTGATGTGCATATATAGCTCTGGGTTTGACAAATCATTGAGCATTCATCAGAGATACTGTTTTATTACTCATGAAATAAGTCAAATATCCTTAATGGAGTTTAATGGAATATATTTCCCAGTTATTTACTTAATTGCTTTGGGATGTCAGCTAGAGTCCAGAAGAGTGTTTTATATGCCATTTGCAGACCATTTTAGACAGATTTGGTATTCTTTGAAGGGCAGACTAATCAAAATGTAGCTATATTGCACTAGTAGGGAATTGCAAATTATGTTTTATTGGTCAGCTAATCGTCATATCAATCAATCCTAATACAAATGTAGATGCCACATAATTTCCTTAAACTGAAAGTCCAAGCTCAATTAATAGCTTAATTTTGTTCCCACTCTGTTTGTTACAGTTTTGAAAATCCAACGTAACCTTTAAAAGTCTTGTGATCCATTTTTTTTTGTATTCCTCGGGTACCAAATCTGGTATAAAACGTCCCAGCTATATATCATATTTACGGTGTATACACTAAAGACCATGAAGTTTCACATTTTTGGATTTCAGTCACTCAAAATTTTCCATAAATGTTCTTTATATCATGTTCATCTGAAGAATACTTTCTTCTGTGAAATAATAATAGATGTATCATAAATAGTTTTAATAAGTATGATTTAATTACATTGGAAGAAAAATACATTAAATAAATAAATATAATAAACTCTTGAATAGACTGCTGTTTTATTTACATCATCCAACCCATAATGAAGAAGAAGGGATTGACTTCTGAATCACATAAATAAATAAAGGTTTAGCTAAAACAGAACATACAATTACTATATATAATACTATGACAGTGAAAACAGACACATATTCACAAAATGTAAAAATGTCTTTCCGTCTGTGGGTCTTGAGCATCAGTAATACACACTTCTCTTCAGAATGTACGGCCGTCTTGATTTATTGGTGCGCAGTTGCCTTTTTAGTATATAGGGAGATTTCCTCTTCAGTGGACTGTCGCTGTTTTTGTCCAGCTCCAGATATTCTTGGTCGTCTTGGAGCTGAAATGAAAGACAGTGCCCCTCAGATTATTACAGGACTGAAAATCACAGCAATTGGGTGGACAATGCTGTCAATCAACTGCCACGCCAGGAATTCAAATGTTTATAAACCATTTAGCCCATTTATGTGTTGCAATCAATTTGGCAGCATACGCTATTTCGATAACGCTTTACAATATGGTTTCATTTGTTAACATTAGTGACCTATATAACATGAACTAAGATTTTTTGTATCAGTTTAACACCTACTAATGCAGTTTTAAAATCTAAAGTTGTGTTTGTTAACATTTGGTAATGCACTGTGAATATGAACAATTAGCTTTTTACTAATGTTAACTAATAAATACTTTAATTATATATATTGCTCGTGTTAGTTAATGTTAGCTAATGCGTTAACAAATGAGATATTATTGTAAAGAGATGGAAATATTTCTTCTTTTCATGCTGCTTTTTCAGCCTGTTCTCATCCTTTGGCATCATACATGTGACGCTTTGGACATTTCGTTGAAATCTTACGCACATGGCATCCTTTAGCATCAATATGAGACGCAGAACCCAAGGCGTCATACAGATGACGCTCGTCTAAATCCAACGCACATGGCATCGTTTAGCGTGAATATGAGACGCAGATCCCAAGGCGTCATAACCGTACCCTACCCCAGAACTAAGGCCCCGTTTACACGAGAACGATTCCGGGTGAAAACGTAAAACTATTTTATCGGATGTGCCTTTCGTTTACACGGCAACGGCGTTTTGGGGGCTTAAAAACGCAAAAAAGTGAAACCACCCTCCAAAGTGGAAATCTTAAAAACGTTCCACCGTCGCGTTCCCGTCTAAACGGTAAAAACGCAAATCTGCTCACGGTGGCTCTCGTCGCGTACGCGTTTACGTCACAGGCATGCGCTAGTACAGGAAAATAACAACCAACATGTCAGATTATTTCCATTCGTCGGACCTTCAAGTTGCCCTAGCAGCTCTGAAAAACATACAATAGTCTTTTTAGCAGTTGTACAAAATATTCTAAGATATTGGTGTTGTTGTGTGGCAGTGCTTCACATTGCCACCTAGCCGCCTGGAGTGCACACTACATCGAATTTCACACACTTTTGCGTCACCATATGCACGCGGATTTCCCAACCATAACGCTCGTCTAAACGCAGAATAAAAAGTGATAACGCAACGCCACTTTTGCGTTTTCTCTTCAGATCGTTTCCGTGTAAACATAGCCTAAACCTACCCATAACAGTGCGTGTTATATTGACGCTAAAGGATGCCATGTGCGTAAGATTTCGAGGAAATGTCAAATGGCGTCACCTATATGACGCCAAAGGATGAGAATGCGGCGTTGGCTTTTTTACGTAACTGAATTCCTTAGTTATATAGAAAATGATTCCTTGTTATGAATTATTAAGTGGCTGAAGAAGAAATCTGCATTTACAAGAGAGCATGCTCAAAGTCGACTGTTTTTTTTAGAGCATGTCAATTGTTTATTGTCTCATTGTCTGTGTCGATTCTCACCTCTCTAGGCTGCAGGACCCTGCAGAGGTTCTGAAGGTCATGCATTTCCTCAAGCATTTGTGCGAGGGTACCCGAGACCCTCTGTTCATAGTCAGCCTGAACCTCGGTGTCCTCCTGCTCCTCCTCGCTGCCCCAGGACTCCCCGAGACTGTTCATCAACCTGCACACATCCTGGAGAGGCAGCTGCCACAAGGGGGCGATGTGCTTGCCCTGCTTTACCTGCACACACACACACACCGCCGGAGAGAGAGCAAAAATGTTTACAATAACTCAATCTCAGTATCAGCTATAATTCACCTTATATAAAAGTCATGCTGTCTTCAACCATTGCTATTTTCTCAGTCCACTTACAGGGTGCCAATAATGGATAAGCACATTTTGAGTTTTCTCTAGACACTTTATTGGGCTTCACAGGATGAATCTAAGATCAAGCTGGGATATCTGGAAATCTCTTTTCAACCTGTTGGCTGTAAGTTTGGGTAAGTCTTATATTACACTGTTCTTAAATAACACAATCCCCTTCCAGTTCATGGATCTGATATTAAAAACAAGAGTTCATATTCTCAGTAATTGAAACATATCAAACTGAAAGATTTTTCCTTTTTAAAATAACAGAGGGAAATGGCACCTGCATAAGACCCGCAGGCTGTCGATCTGCCATTAAAATAACTCTATTCCTCTAGAATTAAATTAGACTTGGCCAGCTGACATTTTAAAAGTAGCATTAAAGACATAATATTTAATGTCCCTATTTGAAGTCATAATTAACTCTGCAGAAGAGAACATTTCTATACTGATAGATTGCCAGAAATTGTGGTCAGAGTTAAAAAGAAAATCTGTAGAAAATTACAAACACCATGATGCTATGATATTCTCTATTGATAATGGATAATAGTCAGATGTGCTGATGATAGATAATGGATGTTGATGCATTGCAGAATATTGCTCATTGAATGAAGGCAGCTGAGCATTATTTTGGGCAATGGCACATCATTTGGTCCACCAATAGAGCGTAAAAGCTTCATCCATTTTGCTTTTTGAGTACACAGCACCTGAATTTCTGCCTGAATCAATATTATTTTTAAATGTGTAATTTCATGTTACATTTAACATCACTTAGCATCTACATTTATGGAACGCTGTACAGCATGGCATTCATCAAGACAATAACCTTTTTATAAATCATTAAGTGACAGGAGCACAAACATAAATTTACTATAAATCATCCCACATCCATGTGCTATTCTCTGAAAGGGCTTTTCCAGATGCCTTTGTAAAAATATTTAGCTGGTAAAGAATATTCTTTATGTTTAATATAATCTGCTGTCATTTTTTCTGAGTTGAGTTGTTTAAACTTTGAAAAAAAAATGCATAAATATATATTTATCTTTTTTCTATTTTTCTACAGGTACCATGCTTTTTTCACAGTACCAGAAACCATGAAATAACCATGACTTTCATTTAAAATTCAGCTGCCCTACAGTCAAAGGGAATATCTTTATTAAGGCCCCATATAAGGCCAGTATTGCCTCTGTTGGCTCAGGGTCAACAGGTGTTTTAAAAGCAATACTGTACCTTTGAAGTGAGGAGACTTCTCAGTACCTCTTCCTCTATTGCCCTTTTTCCCTGGTCTATATCTGAAGAGGGAGAAAACACACAACGTCGACATGTTTTAAACGTAGCACTGAGAGTCAATATACACATCAAAGTACAAATAAATTCTGCAAATTTCTTGTCTGCAGTAGTGAGTGTGTTTTAAATTCAGTTAGATCTAAAGAAAAAGTTAAATGGGTTTTTGAGATGGGTAGACACTTGCCCTGCAACATGTTTTAAATCTATAAGGTTTTAACATTAATGTCTGTAATACTTTTAGAGTTTGATGCAAGTGACTTATTTATTTCAAAGGGAAATTGTGATTATGCCATAAATAAAAGTCATTTTATCTTTATTCAAAGTTTTATCTTTATTCACTTTCTAATAGTTATCCAAACATGATCAAATCTAATGATACATACTATTGATGAAAATGCTGATAATCTCGATATCAGTAAGATAAAGATAACTGATAGTTACTGTATACCCAAACTAAGACCATAAAAGACCATATTTTTTTATGTGAATGTTAGCTATCAAAGATCATCATCATAAAAGATTTATCTTGCAATGTATTGGTCATTTTGAATGGTAATTAAATCTGGCTAAATAAGCAAAAGTAAAATCAGTCTGTATAAAGTGATAAAAGTGCACCTACCTGAACATAGTCCATTACACAATAAAAAAAGGAGCATAACGGAGGTCAGCTGCATCTGCATGTTGTTAGTAGCCCCACAGTTTCTGTACATTCAAGCTGGGCCCAAGTCCATAAGGTTAAAGGTCATAAAATGGTATGAAAGCGGATGGAAGAATAAGAGAGATAAGTTGTAAGAGAGTGGAGAAAATCACAGCGCGTCCTGCTCTCGGTTTCTTTTCCAACCTGTTTGCTGTGTCTTCTCTTGGCTTTCTCAGAAGTGAAGTGAGGAATGGCGGGCTCCATTCCACCTGGTATATAAGAGCCTCTATGATGTCAGAGGAGCTGCACTATCGTTCCTACCCCTCCCATATCCATCTCCATATCTCTCTCTCTCTCGCCCCCTTGTCCTGTGTCATGATGACATCAGCAAACACCTCAGAAACCACTTTGTTGACGTCAAAACTTCCATAAATGCTAATTTGATGTTCCTCTCATCACCATGCTTCTAAGAACAAATCATAAATTCTACACTCCCCTTTCCTCCTTTAGATTGAAGAAAGATAAGAGAGGATGATGCCTTCATCTGAACTCATTGATATTGTCCTCAAGAATGACCAATCTTTGCATTATTGTCCGGCATACTTTCCATTGTTATATGTTGCTCATACTGTGCTGAGATAAAAATGTAAACTGTTTTGAGAGTCCAAAGTGTGATGTTCAACCTTGAAACATTCTCTCTGTACATTCTGTAATGAAACAGTCTTTACTTTTGATTGCTTCCAAAAAACAAACATTCCATCCAGATAGGCTACATGATGACAGGGTTGGATTATTATTTATATTATGATGCATTATTATTCATCAATATACTGTAGTATAGAGACCAGGGAGTGTTGTGACACTGTTTGATAACATCAGTTTAAGCAATTGAAATGGTCACACATGGCCACCAACCTGCTGTGGTTAAAGACTTTTTACAGAACTATTGCAGGACTTTAGAGTCCAATAGAAAGACTATAGAAAACAAATCCTATTTTATTGACACAAATAAAATGAAATATCTATGTTAGCTATTGGTGTTACAGACCATTCAGTGGAGAAGGTTGTAAAATCAACACTCTTTTGTATGTAATTTTAACTTCTGTAATTCATTTATACAGATTTGAGCTTAGATGGCTAACTAATTAAAATTGTTGCAGAAAAAAATGATATCAGTTTGAAAGATGTATGCAGTGCACTCTTTAAAAAAAAAGGTTCCAAATGGGGTTCTAAAATTAATTAATTTGTAAAATATCTGTGTTTGCTGAACCATTCCAGTAGTGGGGTAGGTTGTCACATCTACACTCTTTTGTATTTAATTTTAACAGTGTGTAATTCATTTTAAACTGATTTGAGCTTAGTGATATCTGAATAATTCAAATTGTAGCAGATGTGAATATCAGTTTGAGAATTGAGACAGGTATTCTTTTAAAAAATAAAGGTTCCAAAAGGTTTACAGTGATACTGTTTAAGAAACCATTTTGTCAAAAACCCTTTCAGTGAACAGTGCTGCTTAAAATAAACATGTTATTTTAGTGTAAAGAACATTTTAATAATCTAAAGAGCCTTTTTCTATCATAAAGAACCTGGAAAGGTTTCATGGATGGTAAAGGTTCTCACCATCGATGCTAATAAAAAAAAACTTTTAAAATTTTTAAGAGTGTAGCGTAGAAATACAGACATTGAAACAAAACAACACTCCCGGTTCACCAATCTAGTGGTACAGGACAGAGATGCTATCACAATCATCAGCTCCACACAGTTCTCCGAAAGGCGAGTTTAGTCGCCTCCCTCCGTGTGAAGTGGGCCGGCCCTGTTTGAAACTCCTCTTACTTTGAAGCTCGCAAGTTGTTCAACTTTTTCCACGACCAGCACTTCAGTGGTACTTTCTTGATTAGGTGTATGCGCTCCGTTCTGTCGCACGATGCCTTGGATCTGACCTGTGATCACATTGACGCAGGATGGCTCCTTTTGGAAAAAACTTTCTGAAAGCGCGTTTGAAGAACAGGTATGATTCAAACCATCCATTTCATTTGAGATTGCACCACATACCTTTTAATAGAACATTTAAATATATTTATTAGGTCGGCGTAAAAAGCTTGAGAAGCAATTCAATATTTGTCTTTTTTTTCTCAGAACCGTTCGCAAAGAAACTCGTACCTATAGTAGCCTATAGTTATTATGGACTGTAAACTCTTCGTCACTGTAACAACACTTCCTCTGACTCAAGTGTTTCGCCGCATGGTCGCAGAGAGTCGAGTTACACTAATGCTGTTGTTCTGCAGGCTCTGGTGCCTCTCTGGATGCAGGTAGCTGGCGTTAAGTAACGCCAAAATGTGTAATTTTTTTCTCAATACTAAATCCTGCATGACGACGGATGTGCGTATTAGCGCGTGAGTGTTTGATGAAATGAACTGGAAAGGCTTGATATTGTAGCCAGTGTTGAGTATTGCGGCAAGTATTTAACTTAATTATTTTGTTGTGTCTATAATTAGTGTAAGTTATGTAATTATGACAACAAAATCTTTTTGTTTTAACTTGCTTGTTTAGAGAAAAGCTTGTGATTTTGGTGCGATTGTTTGAACAAGTGAAGGATTCTGGGTGTAAAAAATATGGAGTTTGACACAAAAATTAACCCACCAAAGGAGGTCAAAGAATGGGAGGTTTTTAAAGTATATGTTCTTTTTAATTATAAGTAGGCTACATAAGCATTTAAACAATATTTCAATAAACAGAAGTAAGAAGAGTGTGCTAAATGTGTACACTCACGAACAAGCAGGTAACCATAGCAGCCAAAATTACACAATTGCTGTCAGTATCGATCGGTACAGGATGACAAAATGTAGCCTTATATTGTCATTATTTATAATGTCATTAGAGACATACAAATCATAAATATTATGACGAAAACAATTAGTTTTTGCTTAAAGGGATAGTTCACCCAAAAATGAAAAATTTCTCATCATTTATTTACCCTCAAGTTGTTTCAAACCTGTATGAGTTTCTTTCTTCTGTTGAACACAAAAGAAGATATTATGAAGAATGCTGGTAACCAAACAGTTGACTTATGCCAGTATATTTTTTTCTTATTCTGGAAGTCAATGGCTACCGTCAACTGTCTGGTTACCAACATTCTTTAAAATATCTTCTTTTGTGTTCAACAGAAAGGAATTCATACATGTTTTAAACAACTTGAGGGTGAGTAAATGATGACGGGATTTTCATTTTTGTGTGAACTATCCCTTTAAAAGATCTTCAGTAGCTTATAGTTGAGGGGTAGCTAGACTCTAGTGGCGTCAAAAGATATTTTAGTTTGTGTGAGATGAACTTCAATTGAGCCCATAAATTACTGACAGAAATTATTTTATAAGTGTTTGTACACTTTAAAGTTTCTCTCATTGACACCATTTTGCAGTTAATTTTAAGTGCCCTAATTTACTTTTGATGTCTCAGTGTTTCCATATAGTCTAAATGGTTAATTATTCAATAGTTTGTTGTAGTGCTTATTAAAAAGGACTCTCTCTCTCTCTCTCTCTCTCTCTCTCTCTCTCTCTCTCTCTCTCTCTCTCTCTCTCTCTCTCTCTCTCTCTCTCTCTCTCTCTCTCTCTCTCTCTCTCTCTCTCTCTCTCTCTCTCTCTCAGATGGCTATGCAGCAGGGTTTATGTTATGTTATGTTTTGCCAGATTTTTCTCCCTTTTTTATTAATATATGTTCTGTGCAGGATATTCTTTTGCACAGCAAGACATTAGTTGTCCTTACCAGTCTTTTTTAACAGTGTAAGCTTGAAACTCTCTGAAGGGGCATTACTTTTATGCTCCTGTAAAATCACCTTTAAAGCATTAGCCAACTGTAATTATCTCAAATGTTCAGAGGGAAATCTAATCAAAGGAAATATAACTCTGTGTCTGTTTTATTTAATGTGGTCCATACAGAATGACATTCGAATAGTTGATTTATACATGGTTTAATTAATAGACATGCTTTGTTTCGTGAAGGTATGCTCTTACAGCGACAGTTTAAATATGGAGGTGGTTATTACACTTAACTAAATTACCTCAGCTGCCATAATTGTGTGGTTATTTTAGTACGTAATGTCACTAGTTAATGCCTAAATAAGAACCTTAGAGCAGCATTGCGATTTTGAACCTGTACTTTGCTTCACTGGAGCTATTGAGACAAACTGCTCTACCTGAAATACAATGAATATGTTTTGTCGTCTCAATTATGCATATGAGGTAAAGCGATCTTTCTGAAAAAGTGTTTTTTTATTTATTTATAAAAAATCTCATGCTTTTAAGACAGGGCTCAGAGGTAAAAGTGAATTTTCACGGTATAATGTTAAGGAAACATGCTATCTCTAGCACAGTAAAATAGAGGCTACATTCTAATTTATCCTTGCCTCTATTTTACTGTGCTAGATAGCATGTTTCCTTAACATTATACCGTGAAAATTCACTTTTACCTCTCTCCAGTTCACATGTGCCCTAAAATCTCTCTGCCCTCTCAGATAACATGTTAATGAATCATTTGATACAGACAGTACCCATTTAATATGATCTCACAGCTGCTCTTAACTTACATGGTCATAAATGTTACAACTGCCGCATGGGGATTTATTATTTTATCAATATCTCAAACTTAGACTAAATGTATTAATATAAAGATAATGAATTTTGTTAATGAGATTATTTGTTGTTGATGTTTAATTTCCCAAGCATAATTTTGTACAGCCTAATAAACCTTGATATACTGACTGTCAAGGAGATTATGTTCCTTGTCCAGACACTGTGTTGAGTGAGTAGAAAGATACAACATGTTCTCTGTAGTCAGTGATCCTGTCTTGTGGCAACACATGTTTTTTTTTTTCTTCTTCTTCTATGAGTTGAGAAGCAGAGTGTTCTGTTCTTTTCACCTTCAGTGGTTCTGACAATGTTTCTAGTGTTGTGATCATTAGGGTACAAAAAATACATCAAATCTACATTTCAAAACCAGCTTTTATTTTATGCATTGTGATGTGGACTGACTTAACCTGATGTTCACTGATCCATAGTTATGTTTCTGTAAATACAGCAGACAGTTTGTAAGTTTGTTGTACTGCTTCTTTGCAATATCCATGAAATGGACATTTATAATTTTTCCATTATCTCACGATACATGAACTTGTTGGCAGGATGTATGTAACAGGATGCTGCTGGTCACCATTGATTTTCCCACAAGACAAACACAGGTGCTTCCATTCCCCCTCATTTGTTTCCTGTACTCATGACAATTTTGGAAAAGACTAAATAAAGTAGACCATTTCATGAAAACAATATTGAATTCCCAGTGTAGACTATTCTGACATTTCTTTTTGTTTAGATTCATTTAACAAGCTCTTTAAATGGATCAAAATTGTATAGCAAGCCAAGAAAGCATGCACATTGTTAACCAGCTGAGTGTAAATGCTTGTATTGTATTGTAGCATTTTGTCTATTTCAGTATAATGTTTCTGACATGTGTGAACAAGCCACTGTATACTTTTACTTACTTGTTATGTAAATGCTAGGGTTGCACACTTCTATTATGATGTAATGGGGATGATGTCATATGGAATTACCAGCACAGGTGTGATTAACTTTTAGAATAGCATTGTATACAGTAAGTTTAAATTAATGTCATACAACATTAAACAAATGGCAATCTTGCATTTAGTTTTGTATACTTTTTCTGTCTATAAAAGCCTTTAACCCTATACAATACACAATATATTTAAGCATTGCATCCGTTTGTCTCATATACAAGCAGTGTGGTCTGCTATGTAAATAGCTCAACTATTTACTTTTTGTGTGGAGTAGCAGCAGAGTTTTCGAAATATTAACTAACCACCTGCATTCTTGCATTTGTTGCATTCTTCTGAGGTCTTTCATTAAGAAAAAATATACTACTTGCATTTTTGTCACCCTTTACAAATAAAAATGCTATCTATCTGTCTGTCTGTCTGTCATTTATTTAGCTAATAAATAAACAGTATACCTTTGTATTTAAAATTGGCTTTTAATAGCGTTTAATTAGCCTCTACAATATTCTGATCTAAGAGAGATAATTAGTCATACTGGATGTTATGACCTGAACAGAATGAAAAATTACGAAACAACCATTTCAGATAATTGAGGGTATGATACATTTGTCATGAAGCCTTTTGCTCATCTTAGTAATGACAGCCATTTAGTGTGTCATTAACATCTGAGTTATGGATGTGAATCTGTGTCAAGTATGACTCTTGAAACATAGATATATGTGAGCTTTAGGGCTGCAACGATTACAACGTCGACAATAAAAATTTGTCGACAAATATCTTTGTTGTCGAGTAGTCGTTTGATCTCACGTGACCTAATGTAAGGGCCTGCAATCCCGTGATTTGACCGCTACGGCGCTGTAGCGCTAGAGTGTAGTGCAGCCCTTACAAATGCTATTGCGTAGAAGAGAAAACAGCGCGAATTATGACAGTGCAAACGAATCCGAACTAGCAAGGTTTAGGTTTGGGAAAGTTTCACAAAACTTCAAATCAAGAATGCTGTCGTGTGCAATTTTCACGGGAGCACAACATGCATGTTGGGGTGCAAGAGGAAACATCCCGGCAAAAGAGGAGCCGGTGAGAAGTGTGTTCTCCAGCTGGAGCTTAAGTTAGCCTACTAACCAGCGGCAAATCTCTCTTTATTAGAGAATGCAATACTACTAATAATAGTAATAATATTATCAATAGTAATATAATTACAGTAATGTGATGACTTATTTTGTATAGAATAAAGCTTGATCGAGCTTAGGAGTCAGGGCTGTTTTTATTATTGTAACACTATTAGTATATTAGGTATTATTATAGTCTTATCACTTGCCTGTATTTTGTTCAATAATCATGAAGACTTACAAAACGAGATGTTATATCCTTCCTATGATATAGGAAGAATATCATGTCAGTTACTATCATACTATAAATTAAAAGGTGAATGAGAACGTCTCTGTCAGCTCAATTGTCATGTAAAAAAAGATTGTAATTTTATAATTATAATAATTGTTTGCAGATTAATATTTTACCATTCTTTGTGTCCTGAAGTAAATGTCCCTTTTTCTGTTTCAGTTCTAAGAAAAGCAGTGGGCCTAATAAACAATGCTTAGAGAGCATTTGTGTGTGATTTGAGTTGGACCGAAATCTGAAAACTTAAAGAGAATGACCTGTTTAGTTGGCTCAAAGTTCATTAAAACAACTATTTCAAAAGCTGAAGTGATTTTCTTTTTTTATATTATAGTTAGAATATGTATAACTCAATGTTTTAACTAATTGGAAAAGCTGAATAATCGTTCCAAACTTACTGATTAGTCTGTAAAATAATCGACGATTAGTCGATTAATCGTTCTAATAATCGTTAGATTAATCGATTATCAAAATAATCGTTTGTTGCAGCCCTAGTGAGCTTTATGTATTTCACCCCATTTGAGTGTAATAATGAAACAAGTCTGTCCATGTGATTTACCATGGGTGTTTTTAGGCATGAATGTCTAAAATCCCGTGTTACTGAACACAATTTAACTCACGAATGCTAAATTATAGTATTGCTTTTATGTTTATGTTAGACAGAGGTAGACTGTTCCAGAGCTTACGGTCGACTACAGAGAAATAATAGTGTTCAATAAATTCATTATTAAATATAATATTAAATATAATAATAATGTATCATTTGTCCACCTAGTTCATATAATAACTGTTATCCATTTCGTAATATAACATTATTTGTCTTTATTATATAAAATGACCATAGTAGCCATAAAAGATTTTAACACTTGCGATTGTGTTTTTTATAATACACACTTGTTATATCTCTTTACCAGGTCTAAGGTTGTAGAGGAGACACCAGGGAAGGAAATCCAGGTGCTTGTGTGTCACGAAGAAAAAGTAGTCTGTGGTGTGACCAAGCACACAACCTGTGCAGATGTAGTTAAGGCTTTATTGGAGGACCACAAGACTGTACCAGAGAGTAAGAGGCTCTTAGATGGGGAACCTAAAGACTTCTGCATCCTGGAACGGTGGAAGGGTTTTGAGAGAGCACTGCCACCTCTTACTCGGATCCTTCGGCTATGGAATGCTTGGGGCGATGAGAGACCTTTCATACAGTTTGTCCTCATGAAGACCAGTGACTTTCTGCCATCATCCAAGGGAGCCAAGAGGGCCTTGAAGTCTCGGGGAGGGAGGTCCAAGAGATGGGACCAAGGACCTGCACAGTACGCCAAGACGGTGTCTACGGAGAAGCAGAAGCGCATGGTGAAGAAGGCCTTCCGTAAATTAGAGAAGATCCAGAAAGGAGAGACATCCGAGGGCTCAGAGGAGATCAATAAGCTTGTATGGTTGATCATCTCCCAGGATCAGACCATCAGGCAGCAGATTCACCAGATGCGTGAGATAGACTTGGAGATTGAACATGCAGAGGAACAACAGAGTAACAGCCCCACGCCTCGCTCCAGCATCACCGAGAGTGATGACGGCCAATCGCTGTCCATGTCCCAATTTGACAACCAGCTTCAGGAGTACCTGTACACCAGTGATGGAATCGAGCAACTAGAACTACATGTTTCCAGGCACCAAGAACTCATTGACCAGCTCTCTCAAGATATTGACTTAGAGCTGAGGAACTGGACTTCAGATTTGGAGGATTTAAAAGGAGCAGCAGCTGCTTGTCCAGAACTAGAGCTGGAACCCAACCTCTCATTGTCCTCCTCAGATCTCGTAGAGCTGGAAAGCTTACGCAAAGAACTAGAGGCAAGCATGAGAGCTGGGCTTTCCCTCCATGTCCAAATGCAGGATATCGAGAAGGAACTGCAGCAGAACAAAACAGACCTGCAGTCCCAGAACCAGGAATACCAGCATTTAGTTGCCCAACTCAGTGAGCTTGAGCTGGGGGCCTGTCTGGACCAGCCTAGCCTTGTATCTCTGAAGAGCCAGATCAGGGCCACTGTCTCTCAGCAGACAGTAGGCAAGGTAAGACAGACATGCTCCCCTACAGATGCAACAGACACAGACTCCGACACTGGAATAAGCTCTACTCACAGTCAGGACTCACTGTCGCCCTGTGTGGACAGGTCGCCGCCTCTGGACACTGATGTTTGAAGCTTAGGATTAATTGTGTTTTTAATACATACATGTGCTCAATGACTCCAACAACGAAACACACAGCTTAAAAGGATATTTCACCAAAAAAGATATTTTGAAGGATGCTGGTAACCAAAACTGTCCATTGACTTACAATATATATGTACAAAAATCACTGAGACATTTCTCAAAATATCTTCTTTTGTGTTCCACAGTAGTAAGAATATCATATAATTTTGGGAAAATATGAGTAAATGATGATAGAGATGATGACAGAATGGTGATGAGCGATCCCTTTAACATTTGCTGTGCTGTTACAGTTATATATAGAGATAGATGTGTATACATTTTTACTCATCTCATGTTTTTTCTCGCTATTAGAATTCATGTGCACTTAAAGCCCGCATTAAAAATATAGAAGAACTTTCTCAATAAACTGAAAAAAATTCATTCATATTTAAAATTAATCCCCATTCTGTTTCTATTTTAAATCCTGCTGATATTTATTTACCCTATATTTTCCACAATATGAAATATTTATATATACTGTATATACTATATAGCCTATATATATATATAAATAATATTAAATACATTAAAATATTTTAATGTAAATAGCAATGGCAATATAAATTAAATGTTTATAGCTATATGAAAAAGATACTCTGATGAAAGAACATACTCTTGTTTTATATTAAAACAAGCTTTTATATAGACTTTAGATAAGCTTTACTTTTTAACCTGTTTCTTTTTTTAAATGTACAGTATAAACAGGTGACTGCACAGATTGCAAAATATAGAGATAAAAGTTATCACATATGCATAATTTATTTGTTTTTCTCTTTCAAACTAAATCGATCAATATTCAAATTCATTTGAAACTTTGAGTCTTTTAAGCATAGCTAAAATGACGTGATGATATTTCCTTCAGTGCTTTTGCAATGTTAAATGTGTTATCAACTATAGTCACAATACACTGTAACTCGTGTTCCCTTCACAGCTAAAGTGGGTTGAAACAGCACTCATAGAAGGAATCCATTCTGACACTAATACAAACACAAGGAATATTTGAATTCTAATGGGAAAACCGATCTACATTTTTTCAGTCAGTGCCAGTAAAAAGACATTTGAGCCCTTTTGCTTCAAGTAATTGCCTCATTCTTTCTTTAAAACCCGCAAACAGCAGAGACTTAGCAGAACTATTAGACTGCGGTCTCATTGCTTTATTGAATTAATGCAGGGTCTTTAATGCCAAGTTCCTGAAGGGTAACAACGTGTTACGCTGCTGCCATTCAGCGTGACTCATAACAAATGGGATTTTAAAGAAGGCTCCATTTTGTAATGCAAAACAAATGGGTTTTAAACAGTTGCATTATGCAGCAGGCCTTGGTATTCAGGGGGTGTTAATGAAGACTTGCTTCATTGGATCCTTCTGAGTGCCGGCTTCGCACTGAGATAATAACCAAATTCCCCCTCATTGGCTCTGATCCCACACAGCCCCCTATGTAGGGTGTTGCCAATACAAAGTCCTAAGGCTCTTTAATGTCTTCACTGGCAGTGTCGTGACTTGTTTACCTCCACTGTCAGTTCAGGAGGAACCAGAGGGCTGCCAGGACTTTGTCGCGGCCTTAATTTCCTGTGCGAAAATGGCAATTACTGACTTTTATCTCTCACTACTGCTGTGGTAGTTCCAGCGCTAACAATTATACCAGCCAATTCTTGAAAACAGTCCTTTTAGATTGTGTCAGGGCATCTTCCCCATGTTGAACCTTTAATTATGAGGACTGACATCCTCACAGGCTTTTTGGCTGAAAATGCAAACCATGAGTGAAGTGGCATAAGAGAAGAGGGATAGACCAAGGCCATCATGTAACAAAACACTTGTATTTTCTTTCACTAGATCAAGGAACCTACTCAACTTTATAAACACACAATGTGGTTTCTGATTCAACAAGTGATTGGATCATCTTAAGACAAAATAGTCCTGCCGCCTGCATGCTGCAATCTTCAAAAACAACACTCGCATTATCGTGTCAGTTTGCCTTGACATTTCCTGAATGGTTGGGGGGGGGTTTCCACTTAAGTCAGTGATTTGTATGTTAATGTTTCTCTCATACAAAACTTGTACCAAAGAACAAATAAAGTTATTTTAGGATCTCTTTTAGACTGAGTCACTGTATATATATATATATATATATATATATATATATATATATATATATATATATTTTTTGCCATTGTTCAGAAAAACTGTGTGGGTGCTGGTGTATGTTAACAGGATTATGGAAACCACAGAATTGCCTTCTTGACAGTAAAACGCCGTTCTTTTATTTTTAATCTCATAATTACATGTTGAAAGCTGTAATATCTTGTATTAAAGGGTACCATTTTAAGTGCATAAGAGCATGTTGTACACAAACCCGTCCGTATGTGAATGACTAGCAGATTTTATTTGTCATCTCAGTTAGGGATGTCCCGATCCGATACTCAGGATCGGTATCGGCTCCGATACTGCCATTTTTGCGGGATCGGGTATCGATCAGACAAGGCCGATCCAAATCCGATATTGTGGGTATACTATTATGTGTTATTGTTAAGCCCCACAAAAGGCACAAAAACATTCTAAAGTACCATAACGTTTTCGTGCACTCTATTATAAGTGTTCTGAAGCCATTATGTGAGAGAGAAATTAATATTTAAGTCATTAAATTCAAGATCACGTAAACTTTTCCCTCTCGCGGCTGTCAGTCATTCTCCATTCAGCATTCAAACAGCGCGTCGCGTTCGGTATGATGAAACTATCTTCAAGATGATTCAATGTTAATACTTGATCTGTAAGATAAAGGTCTATGTTTTCGCATATAACAACTTTATCTTGCTGGACTTTATTGCTGTAACTCAATCGTGTTACTCTCTACCGGGTGTCGGACGCTGTCGGTTTGATCCATAGGCAGGGGCGTAATTTGTGGGGGGGATGGGGGGGATATAACCCCCCCAATATTTAAATCTATGCATTACGACCCCCCCCCCATTATTTATACCATGATCACAATACCAGGAGGCATACCCAAATTTCAACCCCCCCAATGTTCAAACCAAATCTACGACCATAGGGTTTGATCACAACACTAGAGTCAGAGCACTATAATTGTTCTTCACGCGCACAGTAACTAAAATTTAAAACTGTTAAAAGAAAAGGCTCAATAAACGATTGCATAGATAGATACTGTATAATACACTGTCCATCAATATGTATCTCCGTTGTGCTTTGAACTTTTCAAAGCGGACTCGACGCGCTGCGTGCTGTAACTCCACGTGGCTTCAAGCGCATCATTCTCCGCTCGGGATGCGCATACGCGCTTTGTGCCGCACTGTATTGGAGCCTTTCATATCATAATGCAGTGACGCAATTAAAGCTTATTAACATTAATAATTATTAATGTTGCTGCCTCATTAAATAGCTGTGCAATACACTTAAAACATGTCTCAATTTTATAGCAGATTTAGCTATATCTAAAATAATTATCTTTTTCATTTTTGTTACCCTTGTTTTTCATGAATGTATTTTACAACAATAAGAAGAGCAATGTGTATTATCCACTAATCTAGTTTATAATAGCATTTTTGTCATATTATGATCATATATTTTGGGGATTTGTTGTTTATCTTTATAATGAAGCTGTCTGTATTAAGTAGATTGTGTTTAACACACACAAGAGTGATAATCAGTTTAACACAGTTATAGAAATTCTACTTGATTTAAAAAACAAAAACTGTACTGGTATTTACAATGTAGAATGCTGCTGTTTAAATTGTTTTAACTTTAAACCTGTTGGTAGCTAGCTAGCTTTAAGTACTGAAGTATCTGTATTTTCTTTCATTTATATATTTCTTTATTTTTTTGTAGTGTTTGAATAAAGGGTGGCAATCTTTCATAATCAACTGTTGTTGTGGACTATATAGGAGGCATATTTTAGGTGGCTAATTGAGAAAATTGCTATATTTTTTATTAGTTTAAGAATAAAATAAAAATATCGGATTAATATCGGTATCGGCAAAAGCCAAAGCTGCGGCATCGGTATCGGTATCGGAAGTGAAAAAGTGGTATCGGGACATCCCTAATCTCAGTTAAAACAACTGAAATGCTTAAAATGTCAAATAGAAACAAGCTCTTGTCTTTTATTTGGCATGCTGAAGTTAACTTTACAATTTTAACATTATGCAAACATGTTTTATGGAGTTTTTCAGCCTTGTGGCAAGGACGGTGTATGTTCAAAGCATTCAGGCGAAACTGTGTGCACTTGCTGAATCGTGTCGGGGAACAGGTTCATCTTTTTTTAAATCTCATAAAAATAACTGCAACTGAAAAGAGCTTGCTATTTCTTTACCTCACATAGACTCGGCATGTCTGAACCTCTCCCACAGTCAAAGGTAATAAGTGGATAAAAGCAGTTCAAAAGGGTGATGCCATCTGACCAAACAATTTAAATTAAAACAAATTTAGTTAAATTATCACCCAAGGCAATAATTCATGAGAAACATTTTGCGGTCTTGATTCAATTTTGTTAGGTATATAATAAAGACTAGTAAAGTTTAGCGTCAACTCTCAATATTTTAGTTATTATTTTAAAAGACACTCTGAAATCACTTTTTCACTCATTTCATGTGTTGATGTATTTAGAATTAAAACCGTGGTGTGGTGGGATATTAAATGCTCATCATTTTTTTTTATAGTTAATTCATGAGTTCATATCCTAAACTGTAATATAAAAATATAAAAAATCCTACTAGATAGTCATAGATAGAGGGAGGGATGTTCTTATTCTAGATGGTAGCTGTTTAGACTAAAGGCTTCAATGCAACAAGTCATCTGCCTTTTTTGTCCATGTTCCCAGAAGTGAAAGTCTGTAACTTTTAAGTTTATTTTATCACATTTCCAACACAGTCTCATGTCAATTTGTAACGTTTTGGGAAATCGGTATGATCATATGATCTGCTTACGCCCCAGTGGCGGTTAAGTTTAGGGGTGGGGTTAGGAGAGGACATTCATGCTTACTTTTTTTTTTCTAAAACTTTTTACATTTTCGTACGATTCATATCGTATTA